ATCAAAAAACAGGCAGAGGCAGCTGGGTCACGGTCCAGAGTGGTTTATTGCAAAACACAGGTCAACCGCCCGAGATGCACACCGGTGAACATCTGAAGTAACATACAGAGACAGTCCCACTTATATTCACTCCTGTGGCTCGGGGCTCTTTCATCTTACCGGTGGAAGACCCACCTCCAAACCATATTTTTTATAAGCCTTTCTCTGATCTATCAAAGCCTTTTCTTTACAGGTCATGGTGACATCTCTTTGCAGGTCATGGTGACATATGTTGCAGTCAAATCAAAAACTCATTATAACCTTGATCATCAATATGTCAAAACAACGTTTTATCCAGTGTGACTTATGTTTCATAACATTTCATTAAATCATTCAGCATAACTTTTGATGCTCAAAATTTCATTAAAACACAGCGCTGTATGACTCTGTTGTATTACTTCGATATGACAACACAATATATCATACTATAGTTCAGCTTGGTGGTGCAACCTTGATAAGTCAAAATAATACATTCTCAATGCGTATGACTCATTAAAAGGCCTCATCTTTGGGCTCTTTACACAGCATCTAAGCTTTGGATCCAGTCCAATACCTCTGTCCCCCTTCCACTACCTGTCTTTTTCCTCCTGATCTTATCTTCAAACTTCAAAGCCCAGTCCAAGCAGATGACCTTGCACACATTGCTTTATTTTTATACATGTTGGAGCACACACTTTAGACTCTTTGGCCTTTATAACATGAATGTAGTTATTGTGAAACATTTATCTACTATATTCTATTCATTGGTGCAGCATTAATTCACTACACTGGTCTGTTACATTTTTAGTTGGATTTTTAGACTGCCTTTGTTAACCATTTTCATCATTAAAACTACAAGTATTCACCTCAGCCTCTCAGCCTCTGCATTTGGGTCCTCCAAACCACAACCAAAACGTGACAGAAGGAACCAACCAAAACATGGACCCAGCAGAGCCAAACAAAATAAGAGATTTCCTTTCTCTGGTAATCTCTACATTGGACAGCCTACCTCTGATCAGCCCACCTTGGAAGCGGGTGAGTGCAGCAAGGCAGGGAATTTCCTGATTTTCATGACTTTTTTCTTCAAACAGGTTACATTGCTGTAGCTGAGTGGAACATACAGGATGCTTTCGCTCAGCTACTCAATAGACCTCCACCACCCAAACCTTCACTCCCATGCAGTCAATCGTCTCCGACCCTGTTCCTCCACCTTCACCAGCTGTTGCCCCCCCCTGCCATCTGCTTCCTCCAGGCGTAGGAGCCGCCGTGAGGCAAAAAAAAGCCACTCCCTCTCTGGCGGGTCAGCCTGACGAGGGTACACCTGACACCTCCTCTCTCTCTCTCGGGCGGGTCAGCCTGACGAGGGTACACCTGACACCTCCTCTCTCTCTCTCGGGCGGGTCAGCCTGACGCCGGTACACCTG